GTCTGACCTATGCCTGTTTTTGACCACGTCTCTTGCGAATAAATCCTTGCAGATGGATCCACACGCTTCCCGTGTTCCCTCCGTTACAAAAAAGAACAAAACAGGCTTATAGTGATTATTGGGTGGCTGCGCGCTACAAATAATGAATAGACTTGAAAACATTAAATATTATTTACAAGCATTTATACAGTGAATAAAACAGCTTGTGAATAGTCCTGTAATGTTATTAACCTCAGAAAAGACAACAATAAGGAGTGTTGGAGCCCACATTAACCTGTAACGTTTAGGGGCCTGTACAAATGTTTTTGCATATGGGCCCGCGGCTGACTTGCTACACCACTGCCTTCAGTCATAATTACTAATCATTTTACTGCTTTAAGTCCTAAGAAGCCCTCAGATATTTGGCTGTGAATTTAATGTAAATCTAATATATAAAATTAGTGACCATAATAAAAGAGAAGATTTGAAAGGAGGACTTATGATAAGTAATCTGCTCACATACTGTATATTTTAATAAAATTCAGATGAATGTTAGAAACTGTACTTTCTTTGGTTGATTCAAATAAAATAAGGCTTAATATCAGTTTATTAAACAATCTGAACTTATTCTATTGTTAACTGAAAGGAGTTTAATGGTGTGCAGCAGCTCACTTACAGAAAGAAGAGGAAGTGACATCAGAATGCTTCAGATTCACACCCATCAGTCTAAACTGGGCTCAGAGATGACCACTGATCTACTGCGGTCAAACTCACATGTTGAGATCAGTGAGATCACAGCTCTGAAACCCTACAACTGCTATAATTAACACACTATTTTAGTTACGGAAGTGTAGAATGGCTGTCAACCATCTCAGCATTGTAAGAAAGTCTCGACTCTGGAATTGATGCAAAACATCACCGTAAAACTTCATATGGAATATGATGATTCCATAACCACTATTATCATAATAATTTGCAGAAATACAGCAAATAAAAGGCCTGTATATGTTCACTCATGGAAGTGTGGAGACAGTAGTGAGCACTTTGCTCTGTGTGCAGATTTTCTCCTGACCCTTAAATTCGTGGAATTCCTTGAGGAGGGTGGGACTGAATGCAGGAGTCTTGAGTATCGTAAGAAGTTTGTCATCCCTATATAGGGTCCTCTCGTCTTCATCAGATGGCCCGATGGTCTTTGTCACTTGGTTGAGACACATTTGCTGCCTTGAACGTGTGGAAACTTCCAAGATCTTGTCTCATAGACAGCAGTGTTGTCAGAATCAGCTCTATGTAGATAATGTAGATCAAGAGCGCCGGAGCCCTGCAGAGTTTAGATTCAACCCTAATCAAACGCATCTGATCCAGCTAATCAAGTCCTACATGGTTTGTGTGTTGGAGCAGGACTGGAACTAACTCTGCAGGGCTGCGGCTCCAGGAACTGAGTTTGACACCCCTCATGTAGAACGAGTACACAAGGACTCAAGATCGCATAAAGCCTTCTACACACTGCATGATTTTCAGCTGTCCCAGATGAAAGATTGGCATCGTGAAACAATCGTGGTGACTTCTGTGATCATGGCTCCTAAACAGGGGTCCTGTGTCGTACAGTGAGAGAGGTTCTAAGACGGCTGTTGTCACGGTCTTGCGACCAAAGATAGCCTACGATCTATGGAATGCCAAACCTCATATTAGTCCCGTGCGAATCGGCATCTCTGTGATTTGGCCAGCATTTGGCGGGTCGTATATCATTTTTCGAGGTTTTGTTTCCCGTGCGCCTTTTTATCCATCTTTCTCGAAGAATGGAGCTGCGTTGGAGTGTCTGATAGTATTTTGGGTGCTTTCAAGGTGATTTGTTTCCTGTGTGGCTTTTTATCCTTCTTTCGTGAAGAACTGAGGCTGCGTTGGAGTGTTTTGGTAGTATTTTGGGTGCTGGGTCATATAGCTATATATAATACAATTATACAAATTGTAGAAAGCGAAAGTTGAAAAACATCAGAAAAAGGATTAGATGGAGATGGATGACATGTACAGCAGCATGCGGTAGGGAACACTCTCCTGTTTATGATATATAATGTTATGCAATCCTTGACAGCATATCCGGGAGATAAGTCAGTAAATTCGAGTAAAATCACAGGCTTCGCTTATCCCGTGCGAATGCGCCACACGAAATTCAGATGTGGGGGGGGTAATTTCAAAATCACACAAGGTCCCCAGATAATACTAATCCCGTGTGAATAGGGCTAAAGAAATGGTTTGCAGCAACTATTGGAAACATTGATACAAAAGGAAAAGAAAGAAGAGGAACTGTTGTGTGAATGTGTGAGAATTCAAACATTTATACAAAAGGAAAAGAAAGAAGAGGAACTGTTGTGTGAATGTGAGAGAATTCACAGTGTCCGTCTAAACAGTGTTCAGAGATGATCTCAGATCAGTGTGTGTTAAACCAGTGCGGTCAAACTAACTGAGTTCCCACAGCCAGCAGCTACACGCTTCTGAAACACAAAGAGACGACAGATGACCATTATAGTGTTGAGAGGAGAGAAAAACTTACAGTTTATACATAGCTTTATTCACACACTTGTCTGTTCAGTGGTCCCTTTGTAACTGTGTTTAGAAATGGGGCTTCCTTTAAAATACATGCATCTTTATATATTTACAATACACCTTTGCAATAACAAATTACAACATATATTTTTTTACTACCAAGTTATATGTATTTTCAAATTAATTTAATAAACATGGCAAAGGTTTCATTCCTGTCACATTCACGCTCTCAAGTGCTCATGAGCAAGTCTGGATATCGAGACGAGCCGAAAGATCGGAGTCAACATGTGAAAGCGTCGCAGAGATCAAACACTTCTGCCATCATGCCATCAAATTAGTTGATGTGTTAAAAACATTAACAGTTTGGTATATTAACAACAAATCCATCTCTTTTTTACCTAAAGTCAGACCAACGGTTTAGGGACAGCAAGTTTGGCTGACTGTGACATAATGGGTATTATTGCTCTCAGTATGAAAACAATCATAGGAAGTGATTGATAGTGGAAACCTTTTCAGTAACAAACCAATTTTACATAATTTAATGATTTTATGTCTAGAGGCCCGAGCTGATCTCACTTCTCTTACTTCTCCATTACGACTGGCATCATGTTACTAAATAAGAACTCTAGCAGCATTTAAACACTCGGTCTGTCAGATCAGAGGAAGCTAAAACCACAGGAGGAGCCGAGAGTATTTAAAGAAAGAGTTGAGAGCAAATAATGAAGAGGAAGACTGAGAGAAAGAGAAAATGTCTGATGAGTGTCATCTGTGTCTGCTGGGACTGATCGCTCTCTCTTCACTTCTCACAGGTAAAGAAATCTGTGTTTTCTCTTCAAGACATTCAGTGGAATTAGTCTCAGAAAGAGTTAATTTCAACACCATCAGTTTATTCTTGTGTTTCATTCAGAACATACTGGATTATTCCTGAACGCACTAAAACTAGACAGTTTCACACTCAAACATCTGATGCTGAATTATCTTCATATTGAGAGTGTGTTTGTGATTCGAACAGCTCTCTGATGAAGAACAGTAGTTTATTCTGGAGAGTGTGTTTGTACTAATTGGTGAAAAATCCTGTATGATCTGAATCTTCTGCTTTTTATGCTCGTATGTTTTCATTTATTTATATATAACAATTATAATTCAAATGTTCTTGTGTTTCAGGCTCCAGTGGAGTGGATGATGCTCATGTGTTCATCAGTTCTGGTGAAAATGTCCGTCTGTCCTGTAATAATGCTCTTCATGACTGCAAATCAACTACATGGATCTATAATAACATATTCAGACATTCAGAAACAGTTGAACTGATCACTTTAGGGATAAAGAAGGAAGACACAGAGAGACATGAGAGACTGAGTCTGGGGTCTGACTGCTCTCTGAACATCAACAACATCTCAAAAGATTATTATGGATCTTACAGCTGCCAACAATGGACTGGTGAGAATGGACATAAACTGAGACCTGATGGTCATGTTTATCTGCATGTCCTTCATGGTAATTTTACGATTATGTGGTCAATTTAAAAGTGTAAATTCTTCATTTAAACTCTCACAATGATTGAAGAGTCTGTGATTTGTGTGTTATTTGTGTGTCATCTAAACTCCCATGATGATTGAAGAGTCTGTAATTTGTGTGTTATTTTGTGTTTCAGTCTCATCCTCACAGACTGAGATCAGTGCAGGCCGCTCTGTGACTCTCTTCTGTCAGCTGTATTCATCTGCTGGAGTCTCTTGTGATGATTGGATCCGTTCTGAGGGAATTGAGCTGTTCTGGGTGAATCAGGCTGGTGTTAAACTGACGAGATCAGACTCCAGATATCAGATATCAGCTCCAGGACACTGTATCAGCTCTCTGAATACAACACTCCTGAATGAAGATCACAACAGAGAGTGGAGATGCAATGTTACTCAGAGAGATCAAGTCAAGACCTCAGTCACTTATACTGTCAAGAGTTCAGGTGAGAAAACAAGCTCATTAATCAGTTTCAGACCCTCATATTGTCAGTAACATTAAGGACTGTTAGTATTATTGAAGCAGAACAAACGGAAGAACAAAAGCTTGGTTCAGTCTGACAGAAGAGAAACTCAAAGCACTGCTGCACACTAATGAACTAATGTAACAGTCAAGAAGTTCTGCTGAAATTGAAACTTGACAGCAAAACGTTTCATGTAGTGTTATGATGCAAGTTAAAATATGATTGTCATATTCTATGATAGGGCTTTTCACACTTTCTGGAAAACCAAATGTTTTCAAGGA